CCCATCGCTGGCTCCGTCGGCCGCGCGCAGCTCGTCTCGGGCCTGGTAGGCTGACCTCGCTCGGGCAGCCGAACGGAAGGGGGAACGGCATCCCTTCCGCCAGACAGGCTAGGCGGCGACAGTGGTGGCCGAGCACCCCAGGCAGCGGGCAAAGAGAGTCGCTTCAGAGGCTCGGAGTGCCGCAGCGCCCCCTCCTTTTCCATAAGGCTGCGGAAGCGCGAACGAGTTATGCCGTCAGAGCGCTGGGTGGGGGGCGGAGGGGGAACGGAAACCCGCTGGTCTTCGTTCCGTGCGCGTGGGCCGGCCTTTCTGGGCTGCGTCTCGTTGGTGGAGGAATGGGATGAGGAAGGTGCGCGTGTCGTCGCCCTTCGTTTTACTGCGGCTCCGTCTCAACGGGCCGGAGGCATTAGGCCCCGCGCGGGCACTAGCGCGCATGCACCGAGCGGCGCAGTGCGCGTCTCCCTCGCATGGCGTCGGCCGCGTCGCTTGCTCGCCGGAACGCCCGCTCGGCTGCCGGAGGGAGCTGGGGTTGGAGCGTACGTGCACGCTAGGAGTGCACGCTCCGGCTTCCATATGTCCTTATGGGGGGGAAAGGCGCGCGTCGATTCAGTTTGAAAAGCTTAGGGCTGGAATTCTTGTCCAACACCACGATTTTAGATTAAGCATCCTTACAATATTAGGCCATTTAACCACACTTTTCCCAAATCTGATTTATGGCACTTTTCAAATTACGTACAGTGAAACACTTTTTTTAAAAAGCAAGTGGAAACTACAGTTAGGATGTGGCAGAATGATTTGTTTTTAAGAACAATAAAGTGATAGTACTCATGATTTTAAGAAACTGTAATTAAATAATGAATGAGCTCCTTGCTACGTCGTTAAATGTTTAGGTGCATCTCAGAAGCAGTCATGTGACTTTCTAGATGTTGTTGGACTATAGCTCTGTTCAGCCTTAGCTAACATAGCCAGTGTTAAGGGACTGTGGGGGTTGCAGTCAACAATATCTGGAGGATCACAGTTGGCCAAACCATGCAAAACAAATCCTTGGTTAGATTAAAAGAGAGAGAGAAGGCTGTTAAATATGTATGTAGGGACCATGTGAAATTAACAAGCAATAGATCTATTTCTTGATTTCAACAAATATTTGCATTATTGTAAACTCCATGTGTAACTAGCAACTAGGAAGGATACATCCTGTTTTTCTAGTGGGAACTTGAACAATATCCATTTCTAGCCAACTATTTTTGTTGAGGCATAGCATCACCTACAGCAAGTCAGAGAAGCATTTGCATTGCAATACTATTTGGTGGTGAACGTACACCCAGAAATCGTATAAGACATTGATGAGGCCACATACACATCAAGAAGGAAATACTGTACGTGCTCATGGTCATGAGCACCAGAACCATACAGAAATGAATGAGGTTGCATGTCATGAAGGACCAGGCGGGGTGGGGGGACAAATTAAAAATGAGAAGCAGAGAACTGAGAGTCAGTCAAGGAGTCTGCAAGGTGTGAAACATATAGATGTTCAATTTATAGAATGCCTTAACTGTGTTACCTTTTTTAAATTGACAAAATTAAGATACCACAGCATTGCGGTTGCACCAGAAATCAGTCTTATACATTTCAAATAACAACAAACAAGCTTTGCTTTACCAAAAAAAATGTATATAGTTGGAATTTTGAGCCTTGCTCTTTTCCAAGCACATTTTTCTGAGCTGTAGCGCAATCAAAAGACATGCAGCTCCCTCTGTCCTCCACATTCCCACTACACATGTTACTAGTAGATTTAGGCTGCAATTCTTTTACCTGTTCATTTGGGAGAACACCCCACTGAAATTAGTGGCTCTTACTCCTGAGCAGACATACTGTATATAGAATAGCACTGTTGGAATTGTGCATGTTGGATTGGAAACACTCAACCGTTAATGTACAGAAAAGCTTAAGGCAGAAATTGTGGCATGGGCAAACATCTAGAGTATTTAGGCATGAAATTTTTGGATTCTTTTCATTACAGCTACTAGAAGTCACCAGGAATCCCCCCCAGCTAGAATTCTGATTGCTTTAGCAAAAACAAACAAACAAAAAACACACCTAAAACAAAAAACACCAAGGTCTCAGAGGAGTTTGAGGATAGCCTTCCTTGCCAAGGTTCTCTCTGCAGCAAAAGTCATTAAGCACGGAGACAGTTTCTAAGTTCCCTGGCATTACAGCATTACAGTGAGGTCTCTACTTAAGAACTTAATCCGTATTGGAAGGTGGTTCTCAAGTTGACCCTCTGTCCTCCACATTCCCACTACACATGTTACTAGTAGATTTAGGCTGCAATTCTTTTACCTGTTCATTTGGGAGAACACCCCACTGAAATTAGTGGCTCTTACTCCTGAGCAGAAATACTGTATATAGAATAGCACTGTTGGAATTGTGCATGTTGGATTGGAAACACTCAACCGTTAATGTACAGAAAAGCTTAAGGCAGAAATTGTGGCATGGGCAAACATCTAGAGTATTTAGGCATGAAATTTTTGGATTCTTTTCATTACAGCTACTAGAAGTCACCAGGAATCCCCCCCAGCTAGAATTCTGATTGCTTTAGCAAAAACAAACAAACAAACAAAAAAACCACACCTAAAACAAAAAACACCAAGGTCTCAGAGGAGTTTGAGGATAGCCTTCCTTGCCAAGGTTCTCTCTGCAGCAAAAGTCATTAAGCACGGAGACAATTTCTAAGTTCCCTGGCTACAAAGCATTATGGGACAGTAGTATCTCTGTTCATTAGGCTCTGTACAAAATGCTTCTTTAAACATTGAACTGTGATATGAGAAGAGCAGGTTGGGCCAGTCAGGTCTTTCTTAGCTTAATCTAATTTATGTGATGATGGTAAGGATAAAATGGGAATGTGCACTGATCTGATGAAAACTACTATATAAAAATAGCAATTTATATATAATGTGCACAGGAATTCAAGGGTTCTGCTTTTAAAACAAGTTGTCTTGATTTTGATGTGTCTACTCAATAAATGTGCCTTTAAACCACAGCTTTAGCAAATAGTACTGTAACTGAGTTGCTGTCTTAACACAGTCCAGTATCATGTTCAGTATTTACAGTGGTACCTCGACTTACGAACCTGATCCGTATTGGAATGGTGTTCGTAAGTCAAAATGTTTGTAAGTCGAAGCACCATTTCCCATAGGAATGCATTGAAAACCGATTAATCCGTTTGAAAAATCACCAAAAAAATAAAGGTTTAAGAAGAAGAAGAAAAGTTTAAAAACAAACACTAAAGCCACCTCCATTGCTGAGGTTTAAGGAAAAAAAACAACTCCAGAAACAAACACTAAAGCCACCTCCATTGCTGAGGTTTAAGAAGAAAAAAACTTTCAAAAATAAACAGCAAAGCAACCTACAACACAGCCCAGAAACATACCTGCCCCAGCCAAAACCCACCCAGAACAGTTTTTAAAAGGAGAAAACAGCAGCTTACCTCCCTGCAGAGAGAGAGAGAGAGAGAGAGAGAGAGACTGAAGCAGAAGGAGGCAGCCCCAAGCCTCCAACGATGACACACTAACTGCCAAAAGTGAAAGAACTACAGTACAGTACAAAGCAGCCTCATCGCCACCTACAGTTAGAAATCTGAATTCCCCGCCTTTTTCCCCTGCCTGTTTCTGTTCCTAAGTGGAAGCTGTGTTCGCAAGTTGAAGCAAAATGTTGCTACCGGAGCTGTTCATAAGTAGAAATGTTCGTAAGTAGGGATGTTCATGCGTTGAGGCAGCACTGTACATGCACACGGAGCTACCTCTGCAGAAGTTGCCACTACAACCTGCAGAGGTACTGGTTGCATGCAGCCAGGTAAACAAATGACGTCACAGTAATCTGACAAGACATCTTCCGCAATTGGAATTCCACTCACAAATATTCAGTAGGATACTGACCACTGTTCAGTAAAAATGGCAAAACACAGACACAGAGGGCCCTTCCAAGCAAAACCTCCCTTTAGTTTTAAAAGCATCAGTAAAAGAAAATGATATAAGGGTCAATGCAGTGGAATAGTTGGAGAGTCAAACAGGAACAAAGATCTGTGTTCATATGTTTGCTTTGTGTGAAGTCCACTGTATGACCTTGAGCTAGTCCCAGTCTGTTCCCCAAAATCCACAGTGTTTTTATTCTCTCCTTTTAGACTTCAGGTCCCCAGGATAAAAGTTAGTCTGCAGTCAAAACTTTGCTCAAATATTAAGAAAAGATTCTTCATTGTTCATGGTAAGGTTAACATTCCTTTTCTTTGCATTTTGTTAATCTTTTGTTTCTGTGAATTGTATTTACTAGCCTGATGTTTGTAAATTTTACAGATGAATGGCAAGCCATATTTAGAAAGGATAGGGAGAAGGTTCTTACATCCATTTTATGGCCTCTCTTGTCATGGCCTCTCTCTTCATCTCCCACATTTTCACTATATTCTGTCCTTCTGATTGGGCTCTTCACCTGCAAATTTTATATTGTTGCTACCTTTCTCATTCCTAGGCACACATGGGGATAGTGCGGAATAGTACCGTATTTTTTGCACCATAAGACACACTTTTCCCCCACAAAACAGGGGGGTGGAAAGTCTGTGCGTCTTATGGAGCGAAGAAAACATATTTTCCTGTTTTCTTCTCCTAAAAAATTGGTGCGTCTTATGGAAAGGTGCGTCTTATGGAGCGAGAAATACGGTATGTTCTGCAAGACTACTAAGAATGTTGTAAGAAAATAAGCTGCTGGTGTCAGTGGCCACGCTCAGCCTGGCACAATCTCTAGTTTTAGTTTTAGAAGAGGTAGGTATATTAATCTGTGCAGGTATATCAGACAAAAGAAAAATTAAGAAGACAAAAACATGGTGGTGTCTAAGTGTTAGATTTTAATATAAGCTTTCATGGAACTTCACCCATTCCTTCAGACATAGGAGGAATACAGAGATTACTATGGTTTGCGGTACTCTCCTCCTTGAAGGAAATGATGGTCTGGCCTTTTCTTTGCTGACAGGCAATCTAAACAGTTATCGTCTTGTTGCTAACATACCACAAGAGGATGGTGGCTGACCAGCTGCAGATGTTCTTGGAGGACATCAATAGTCTAGATCCATTTCAGAATGCCATGGGACTGAGACAGTTCTGGTCACCCTGCTAGATGACTGTTATGGGAGACTGATCAGGGGAGTGGGACCCTGTTAATATTCCTGGATCTCTTAGTGAGCTTTGATACCATTGACCACAATATCTTCCTGAACTGCCTGTCGGCGCTGGGGATTGGAGGCACAGCATTGTGCTGGTATCACTCCTTCCTCGGTTATTGGTACCAAAGAATCCAGCTTGGATATTTTTTCCTTATGTAGTGTCCCGTTGGGTCAGTTATCTACCCATTGCTGTTTAACATGTATATGATGCTGCTGGGGAGGTCATTTGGAGATTTGGAATATGTTGCCATCAATATGCTGATGACACATAACTCTATCTCTCCTTTTCTTCTTTGGCCGGGGAAGCAGTACAGACCCTGGAGCACTGCCTGGCTGATGTTATGGGATGGATAAGGTCAAGCAGACTGAAGTTCAATCCTGACAAGATGGAAGTCCTGTTTTTGGGAAGGATCCTGATTGGTTAGGGAGTTTGTAACCTGGTCTTAATGGAGTGACACTCCCCCTTAAGGATCAGGTCCATAATTTGGGTGTGCTTTTAGACCCAGCCTGGTTGATGAAGGTTCATATCTCAGCCATGACCTGGTCTGCCTTTTTCCATCCTAGGCAGATTACATCCCTTTGTCCCTTTCTCAGTGGAAGGTCCCCAGTAAGACTGGTTTATGTGTTGGTAGTCTCAAGGACTGACTATTGCAGTGCTCTCTATGTGGGGCTGCCCTTGAAGTTGTAACAAGCATAAAATGCGGCAGCCAGGCTGGTCAGATACATCGAAATCTGAACATCAGTCATCTGTGCTGGCCTGTTTGCACTGGCTGCCAGCATGTTTCCAGGCCAATTTTAAGGTGCCAGCGTTAACCTAAAAAGCCCTATACGGTTTACGACTTTGTTATCTGGCAGAGCGCCTTTCCCTCAGGCCGACCTTCCATCCCGTCCACACCTCCCAATCCTTGATGCTGCAGATGGCCACTCCAAGAGAGGCCCAGAAATTATCAACCAGAAATTAGGCCATCTTAGTAGTGCAAAACAAAAAGGAACTGGTACATCCACGGAAGTCCAGATTCATAATCTGGACTTCCGTGGATGTATCAGTTCCTTTTGTTTTGTTTTACGCTGATACTGTCTACATGGCTTAGGGCAAGACTTTTAGTTAATCTGGCCTTCTTAGTAGTGACCATCTTGCTTCAGGACTGTTCCCATGGAGGTGTGCCAGGAAGTACATCAGGCCCCCAACCTCCTTAACCTTAGGAAACAAAGCCTCTCTCATTTTTAATTTTATTTTCTTCGTATTTTTGCAACGGCTCTACGTTGATTATTCATTGTTACATGTTTATCAGCAGCTTTTGTTTCTGCCATTTAGTGACTTAGGTACTGTTAATTATATAGTGGGGTTTGTTGAATTAACAACTCCTTAGAGTTATATTTTTTGCATGATCATTGTTTTAATCTGTTTCTTGTGTTTGATTTTCTGTAGCCACCCAGAGTAGGGGCTTGCTTCTAGTTGGGCAGGGTGTAAGTCAAATAAATAAATAATAAGCAATGCATTAAAATATAGCAGTCTTTAAGGTGCCACAATGTTTTTACCTTTTTTGTTTTTCTTGTCTCTTTATATTGCTAACTGTATGGCTGTTGTTCAGTCAGGTGCACATCTCATAAGGCAACAGTATTAGTCAGCAGCAATTCACTGAGTTACATAGTGCAACTTACGCACACACAACTGCAGAGCCAGAGGTTGGGAATTCAATGCCCTTGTGTGCCTTCCAGAAGAGCCAACCTGTGTGACCTTGGGCAAGCTGCACAGTCCTAGGGCAACCTCAGGGCTGAAAGGTGGCCATACGTTGGAATCAACTTGACAGCACACAATTATTAATTAATTAATTTGGAGTGTTGATCAATTTATTTTAGAAAACCCAAAGCTTGTGTGCCATTTCTCACAACAGGCAAAATCTTGTTGCATAAAGATACACCACATAAACTGGATCCAGCGCTGGGAAGATTTAATTTCAATGAATTGAAAGCTTTATATCCCACCTTTCATACGTGGGTGGGGAGCCTTTAATAGTAAAAAAAATGCCATTGGCAGCCCCTATATCAGTGGCAGAGATCCACCAGGGTGGAATTTATTTTAAATCAAATTGGATTGTTTAATGATTTAAATTTAAAAAAATATTTTTCATTTAAATTGTGATTTAAATCAATTTGATTTTTAAAAATCACTGATTTTTATCTACCCTGTGTTTTACTATAGAAGGCTCCACACACACCCATTCGAAGTCTCCCAAAAGCAAAGGGGAGCCCAAAAGAGCCTTGGAACCTGAAGGAAGCTTCCAGTTCATTTAAATTAAATATTTTCAGAACTGGATCCTGCTTATGCCCACATAACTTCATGCAACAGGATTCTGCCCATTGCCTTTATTTTTTTCAGAGTAACTGATAAATAAACCTTTCATTATTTTTTTTCAGGAGTTTTTCATCAGTATGTCTGAAACCATTAAATATAATGACGATGATCACAAAACAGTATTTCTGAAAACATTAAATGAACAACGGTTGGAAGGAGAATTTTGCGACATAGCTATTGTAGTAGAAGACGTGAAATTTAGGGCCCACAGGTGTGTACTTGCTGCTTGTAGTACCTACTTTAAAAAACTTTTCAAAAAACTAGAAGTTGACAGCTCATCTGTAATAGAAATAGATTTCCTTCGGTCAGATATATTTGAAGAAGTGCTAAATTACATGTATACAGCCAAAATTTCAGTTAAAAAAGAAGACGTAAATTTAATGATGTCATCTGGTCAGATTCTTGGTATTAGATTTTTGGATAAACTCTGTTCTCAAAAACGTGATGTATCTAGTCCAGAAGATACTTCACAGTCAAAAAATAAGTATTGTCTTAAAATAAATCGATCAATTGGTGAATCCAATGATAACCAAGATGATGAGGTTGAGGAAATTGGAGATCATGATGACAGCCCATCTGATATGACAATGGAAGGGACTCCTCCTAGTCAAGAAGATGGCAAATCGCCAACAGCTACTCTAAGAGTCCAAGAAGCGATTCTGAAAGAGTTGGGCAGCGAAGAGGTTCGAAAGGTAAACTGCTATGGTCAGGAAGTTGAGCCCATAGAGACTGCAGAATCTAAAGACTTAGGGTCACAGACTCCTCAGGCCCTGACATTTAATGATGGCATCAGTGAAGTAAAGGACGAACAGACACCAGCATGGACAACAGCAGCTGGTGACATGAAGTTTGAATATTTGCTTTACGGTCACAGGGAACAGATTGCATGTCAAGCATGTGGTAAAACATTTTCTGATGAGGCGCGATTGAGAAAACATGAAAAGCTTCATACTGCTGATAGACCCTTCGTTTGTGAAATGTGCACTAAAGGCTTCACCACTCAAGCCCACTTGAAAGAACACCTAAAGATCCACACAGGTTACAAGCCATATAGCTGTGAAGTATGTGGAAAATCTTTTATTCGTGCTCCAGATCTAAAGAAACATGAGAGAGTTCACAGTAACGAAAGGCCATTTGCATGCCACATGTGTGACAAAGCTTTCAAACATAAGTCCCACCTGAAAGATCATGAAAGAAGACACAGGGGGGAAAAGCCTTTTGTTTGCAGCTCTTGTACTAAAGCATTTGCTAAAGCATCTGATTTAAAGAGACATGAGAACAATATGCACAGTGAAAGGAAACAAGTATCCACAACTAGTGCTCTCCAAAGTGAAACAGAACAGTTACAAGCAGCAGCCATGGCAGCTGAGGCAGAACAGCAACTTGAAACTATAGCTTGTAGTTAAAGACAAAGACAGCCATGTTTTGGAACAATTTGGTCTGACTGTCTTCTGAGACAAATATTTTTCAAGGGATTTCGGTTTACAGTTTGCAGCAAAGCCCAGTCCATCACTGACATTAAACATGGGACAAGGCTTTGATTTAGGCAACAGCCCAGTTGGATATAAATGAAGAAGCAAGAGTTGAATTCTTAACTGATATTTTACTCTATTAAGACTCGGGGTTTCTGTGCATGCCTAGTCCCTTTGGAGGAAACTATGCATGTGAAATTGAAAGCCTTACACACCAGTGCACAGTAGAATCAAGCTGAAGTATTTAAATTTAAACTTTTGTTTCAGTGATTCCAGTTGCTTGGCATTTCAGTCCCAAATATGTTTGCTGTGATCTAGGGAATCTCGCAGTAAATCAGCAGTGGCAAGAAATGATAGGACAAGCTGCTGAGTCAGAAATGGACACTCATTGGGGATTCATTCGATTGCAGCTGTTATTTGAACATAAGCCTCATGGATTTTCAATAGAAATTAGTTCTGTGTAAGTATGACAGGATCAGCTTAATGCCAAGTCCTTTGGTTTCATTAGCCTACAGATTGCACTGTCAGCGAATATTGAACAGCCTAAATAAATTATGTCTGCTACAACAGATTTTTTAAATCTTGAAATTATGAGTCGGAACAAATGCAAGAATTTATGGAGAAAAACTGCCAGCGTTCTGAGAAGAACTCATGATGATGTAACATGACTTTGGTATTTCTTGTAATACCACTTTGAAGTTTTCTAATTTCAGCTTAATATACTGCAAGTTGTGCAGCTCATTGGGTAGCTGAACAACAGGGACTACTTTGCTGCATTTCTTAAATTTGAATTAATGTATCTCAAGGTTTCTTTGTTTTCCATCATCACCAGAGTTTAAGGCTGTAATCCTATGCACACAACAATAGAATAAGCTTCCTTGTATGTAGTGGAGCTTGCTTGTGAGCAAACATGCACAGGAGCTGTCTGTGAGACACAATCCACTCAATTTTTTCTGTGTTTAAAAAGGTGAGGCAGAAGTTTTTAGCATGATCTCTTAAAAGGGTTGCGTAATTGCACCAAAAAGAAATGTCTCTGGGGTCAACCTATTTTCACCTTCTAAATCAGTGCCATGCAGCAATGTGTGTCTTTTGCTTGCCATCACCTGGAGCTCTCTACAGCATGAAGTAGTATGACCCAGACATAGCCTTAACACTGCACTAAGAAGTAAGCATAATTTACAGATGTCATTGTGAAACTTGGTACAACTGGAGGACAATAGAGTATAGTTTGGAAAGGACACAGTGGCGGAGATTTAAAAAGGGACAGATTATTATCTGCTTTGAATAAAATATTTTAAATTTACACAGTTGAATGCCATTGTACTTTCCAATAGGGACAGTGTTCCTTGCTCAAAAGAAAGGTGTTCTACAAGTCTTACAGTCCAGCAGTATGTGTGTTTACTCATAAGACTCATAAAATTCAGTGGGGATTCCTTCCTAATTTGTGTGTGTAGGACTGCAGCCTCAGGCAAAGAGTCAATTAACTGTGATTTTTTTTGTGTGTTTGAGATTTACTCCTGAGTTCTAAACTTGTTTGCTAGAAATAAAGCCTGCTGTGTTCAGCTGGGCTGAATTCCTAGGTAGTGTGCTTCAGCTTGTAACTTAATGCCAGGGCTTAGAACGCACAGTTATCTTGATTTACTTGATACAGTATCACCAGCTTTTTGGAACAGTTTCTGTGTCCATCTCAAGGGATCTTTTGGGAAGGAACATGTCCATTAGGAAATATATTCATGAAACTTGAAAGAAAATGTCCATTTTTCCATAGAATAGTAAGATTGTGGGGTGATTTCACTGGTTGTTTAACTTACCTGTCATGAAGTAATTAATTGGTCTAATTTAAAATACACAATTACTGTTCAAGTATGTGTTAAGGTGTCTAGTTCATGATCAGTTTTAGAAGGGTATTTTCATTCATTAAAAGGGAAACTTTCACTCAAATCCAGTATCCTGTTTGTTCCGTACTGCACACAGTACAGTGTGTTCTACATGCAGTTCCTTTTTTCCACCAATTGCACAAGTGCAAATTCACTAATCCCTTGTGGAAGCAGAAAGCTGTGTTGGTGTGAATAGGGGAATCATCAGCTTGCACAAGTGCAATCCAGAGATCAAGTGAGGCTTGTACAATTACTCCTGTAGAGCATTTATGCTTCATATTTGGTGAAAGGACATTGCCCAAGTATTTAAAGAGATTTCCACACATTTATAAGCTTAATTGTTTTATGTATTTTTATTATCAAGACTACATGTTAAATAACATTGGACAAAAATGTGTTCTTTTAGCATTGGGTTAGAATGAGTATTTATATGTTGCTGCTGTGTGTCAAATCACCTCACATTTTAAAATATTAATTAAGACTAACATTTTAAAGTGCTAGAATAAAATTACATCAAGGTATTGATCTTTGTTACAGTGTCATTGTGAATAATTCATTGAATAGGCCAGTTTAAGTTATATTTAAAATGCCAAGAGTTTGCAATTTGTCTTGTAAATAAAACAAGAATATTTTAGAATATGTAAATGTTGTCTTCTTATAGATCTTTGAGGAGCATGGTTTCATTCTCAGATTTTTCCATAATGGTTTTAGAGTGTCTGCCATACAGTTACAAACTTTAGAATACATATAAGTATTCTAAATTATTTCATACACTGGTATTTCACATGTCCATGAATAATTTTTATATAGATGCAAAATTAAGAAGTAACAATATGTTGCTACCCAAATATTGTTTCTTGAATAGAAAAGAAAAATCAGAATTCCACTCTTTAAACCTAAGTGCTTCTATATATGCAAATAATGAAGTAGGCCTTTAAAAGTGCAAATATACTTGAAAGGTGGATATTTTCCAGTTTAAGTAGAGAGCTTGCATTTTTTACCAGGATCCAGGTTGACCTTCCATGAGCAGCTAGCTGTCTAGCAGAGGCTCCCTGCAGGAAAGAGTTTTTGCTGAATTTCCCTGCAGCTCTCAGAGAGCTCCCCCTACATCCAGAACAGCTTTTCAGGATGCATGGGGCTTCAAAGAAAGGAGGAACCAGTAAATATTATTTCACTGACCCCATCAGAATGTGTGCATCCTTCCTCCAGTAAGTGCAGTTCTGGACTCAACCCAATGAGCATTCAAGGCAAGGAGAATTACAACATGACTTCATGCATTATTGAAAAGACCCACTGAATTCAGCACCACTCACTTCTGGGCCTCTTTGCACAGGTAGCTTTTAGTAGAGAAGAATTCTAGATACTGAGGAGCCTATGTTGAAGGGCCAATGGAAGAGAATAGTCATTTCCTAGAAACAATTTTTCTGCTTCATTTAGTATTTTGTCTAATTCATTTGGTTAAAGAATCTTAATATATGTTTGCTTAGTATTTGGATTTTATTTCGGTCAAAATAAGACATATTCCTGATAGAGCCTATTATTGTTACTGTTATTGTAATAATAAGTACAGTATTAAAGACATTATCCATAGGCAATCAAACAACCCGGACTAAAAACTAATTCAAAGAGTGTATATTTGTTTTAAAATGAACCAGATCTTAAGGTGTACATGAAATTTTATCTGCTGCCTTGATTACAAAACTGGAACTGAACTTCTGCATAATTGTATTTTAAAAACAGATACTGTACCATTACAAAACAATCAGCAGAACATCTGGAGAATTATTTAAAGGTGGCAAGAAAGAAATATTGCTTCTTCCAAATCTAGAAGGGCAAACAGAATACTTCCAAGCAAACTTTTTGGGAGATAAAAGTAGAGCAAGAAACAATGTTGTTTAGGGTTTGGAGTTCTGTAATAACCTAGTCCCAAATCAAACTGCTTCTCAGGTGAGGGCAGTTAGGTGCGGCCTAATTTTGAACTTCTGAAGAAATTGCAAATAGTGAAAGTGTACAAAATCAGCAAATACATCTGGGTAGTTCAAAATTTTGCATTCTGCTGGTTCTCAAGAGTTGAAAATTCTGAAAACAGTTCACACTTTGCAAAGTAAAATACATTATGTATGCTGGGATATGTTTTAATAAAGAAGCTGTTTTTTAGTAAAAGTAACTACAGAAGTAAACACTTTCCTGGTTCTGACCTAAGTATGTCAAGTTAAGCAATTAACACCTGTGCATACTTGCAGGGTACAAAAATGGCAAGTCATCTGCTTCCTCCTGATTTGTTCGCTGAAAAAGGACTGGAAAATTTTGTAGAAGCCAAGTAAGGCTCTTCTAAGTTAGGGATATATGATCTCAAAAGCAAACACCAGAGTACAGTGCAGTTGCCACTGGTTGCACTATCTTCAGCTTTCAAACACTTTTCAAACGCAGTCCCACTTACAGCATATTACAATGTTGCTGTTTACTCGTTAAGTCATGTCCGACTCTTCGTGACCCCATGGGCGAGAGCACGCCAGGCCCCCCGTCTTCCACTGCCTCCCAGAGTTTGGTCAAATTCATATTGGTAGCTTCGATGACACTGTCCAACCATCTTGTCCTCTGTCGTCCCCTTCTCCTCTTGCCTTTACACTTTCCCAACATGAGGGTCTTTTCAAGGGAGTCTTCTCATGAGATGGCCAAAGTATTAAAGCCTCAGCTTCAGGATTTGTCCTTCCAATGAGCACTCAAGGTTGATTATCTTCAGAACAGATTGGTTTGTTCTCCTTGCAGTCCAGGGGACTCTCAAGAATCTCCTCCAGCACCACAATTCAAAAGCATTAATTCTTCAGCGGTCAGCCTTCTTTATGGTCCAGCTTGCACTTCCATACATCACTACAGGAAAAACCATAGCTTTGACTATTCGGACCTTTGTTGGCAAGGTGATGTCTCTGCTTTTTAAGATGCTGTCTAGGCTTGACATCGCTGTCCTCCCAAGAAGCAGGTGTCTTTTAATTTTTGGCTGCTGTCACCATCTACAGTGATCATGGAACCCAAGAAAGTAAAATCTCACTGCCTCCATTTCTTCCCCTTCTATTTGCCAGGAGATGATGGAACCAGTGGCCATGATCTTAGGTTTTGTTTTGTTTTGTTTTGTTTTTGATGTAGAGCTTCAGACCATTTTTGGCGCTCTCCTCTTTCACCCTCATTAAGAGGTTCTTTAAATCCTCCTCACTTTCTGCCATCAGAGTGGTATCATCTGCATATCCGAGGTTCTTGATATTTCTTCTGGCAATCTTAATTCCAGTTTGAGATTCCTCCAGTCCAGCCTATTGCATGATGTATTCTGTGTATACTGTAAGTTAAATAAGCAGAGAGACAATATACAGCCTTGTCGTACTCCTTTCCCAATTTTGAACCAATCAGTTGTTCCATATCCAGTTCTAAACGTAGCTTTCTGTCCCATGTAAAGATTTCTCAGGGGATAGATAATGTGGTCAGGTACTCCCATTTCTTTAAGGACTTGCCTTAGTTTGCTGTGGTCCACATGGTCAAAGGCTTTTGCGTAGTCAATGAAACAGAAGTACAGTAGATGTTTTTCTGGAACTCTCTGGCTTTCTCCATAATCCACCACATGTTAGCAATTTGGTCTCTAGTTCCTCTGCCCCTTCAAAATCCAGTTTGTACTTCTGGGAGTTCTCAGTCCATATATTGCTGAAGGTCCCTACCATTCTCGTCCTTTATCATGTCCATCTTTTCACAAAATATCTCCAATTTTCTTGAACAGATCTCTGATTTTTCCCTTTCTGTTGTTTCCTTTTCTTTGAGATGGTTTTGTTGCTGTCTCCTGTAGAGTGTTACAAGCCTCCATCCATAGTTCTTCAGGCACTCTGTCCACCAAATCTAGTTCCATATTACAATAGTCAGAATGTAATTAAGGCAACTAAAATGTAGTCAAATCCATCTTCTCCTTAAATAAATGTGCCAGCAAAAGCTGCACAAAAAGCTTCCTGGCCACAACAGCCCTTTGGTCTTCCAGGAGCAATGCTGGTTCCATGAGCACCTCAAGGTATTAAATTCACTGGTTTTGCCAAATTTATTAGATTCAATTCCATGGAGTTGTTGATCACATTCATAATCCCTTTGGAATGAACTTGTAACTATGGTGCAATCCTATATATACCAGTCTAGAAGTAAGACTTAGTGGTTGTTTCATCAGCAGATTTTATTTGGAGATGTGCACAGGACTGCAGCAATGTAACTTTTTAATGTGATTGTGTGAAACAGAACTAGGTTTGAGACTTAATTTGTTGTACTGACTTTCATATGTGGTTATTAAAACATTAGCAAATGTTTAAATCAGGGTTGATAATCTCTCCAGATGTTCAGAAGCTAAACAGATCCATTCTTAGACTTGGAGGAGTACACCTGTTCCCATGACCCTCAGTCCTCCAAAATTCATACCAAAATTGTTTAAAAAAAAAAAAACCTGTCCTCTAGTGGGCCATTTTTTTAAAAAAAAAGTTATGAATATTGGGCGGGGAGGATATGAAGAGCCCCAGAAATTGGGGGAGGGGGGATAAAAACATGGCAATCTTGCATTGCATGCCAACCATAGAGCATAGGGCAACATTTTTGAGACAGAAATTATTTAAAAAACTTTAATCTGAGGGGGTACATGTTTCCCACAGACCCCATATTGCCTGGTTTACATGGATGTGACTAATGTCACCAAAGTGATTTTTGGAAACATTTTTCTAGAAGGAAAATTCTTTCCCAGCAAGTAAGTATTCCTAGGATCACTTCATAAAACAAGTAGTGCTTTTCTATTTAAGTTGCAAAAATAATTTATGAGCTTTGTGGTTTATACAAAAGGTAGAGAAAGGATTCAATTTGCTGACCTGCTAAGTTGTGAATCGTGACTGGAACATTGGTGTTTAAAGTGAGTTAGTGTAAAAATGATCAAACCATTGATGTGAGATTCTTTACTGGATTATGCAGGTCAAGTGCTGTAGAATAGACATTATTCTATGACAAGCTCACTAAACATGTATGAGTTAACAACTGAATGTATGAGATACATTTCTACAACTGGCTGACAAAATGCTTGTAAATGCTCTTTAGCTTTTGTGAATGTTTTAAGCGTCAGTAGAAATATTGTTGCCCTATTCTTACTGCCACTTCCTTCCTTCCTCATGAGCTTGCTTGCTTCCTTTCTCTCAAGTTCATTGTTATGTGCCGTCAAGTTGCTTCTGACTTAGTGGCAAGCCCATGAATAAGATATCTCCAAAGTGTCTTGTCCTCAGCTCTTGCAAACTCAACCCTGTGCTTTAGGGAGTAAGTTAGAGAGATGGGCACCAACCACCGTTTCGGTGGTTCATGACATTTTGTTTATTAACCAAACAGGTGTTAAGTGCCAAACAGTGTTTGTTAAGAGCCCAGTCGCCTTAGATGGGTGCCCACTCAAAGGCAGTGCCCAGAGATGGTGGGGCAGAGAAGCTGGGGTGCTGTCTTTGAGTGGATGCCCACCAGAGAAGGCAGGGCTTTGAAGTGCCGAATGCCTGTTCGGACGATAAACAAACCAGCATTAGCCACCAAACCAGTGGTTCATG